ACCCTGCTCTGAAGCACCGGCGATCCCTACGTGGTGACCAAAACATTCAGTGTCATTTTACCATTGAGTTCAATGGGATTTTGACGCGATTCGGATGTAAACTATTTTGTAATGACGTCGTAAATATTACATATAAATGTTTATATTTTCTTTTTCTCACAACATTTCAGAGTCCTAAGTATGTGAAAAGACATACATATTTTTAAACAATATTTCATTCTGAACGGAATTAAATGCTATACTTTTCACAGGACAGTTTCTCAGAATGGTTTAATTTGAATGAAAGTATTTTCCCAATGTTTTCGTTAATTATCACCAGGAAAAAAAATTTAAGGTAATTCGATTTTATTCGGTTAAGGATTACAAAAATTAAGATCAAAGTTTATTGTATTATTAATATTAAAATTATGCATTATTTTTCTATTTATAGAGCTTCTTCCTAAAATACTTTTTAAAATATGACATGATTTTTTTTGGCTTCTGAGGCATCTTTTAAATCGGCAAATGTAATTCTATTTATAATTAATGCTCTATGCGGTTCATTTTAAATTATAGAATTATTAGGAATTAGCGAAATACTTTAAATAGTACTTGACTTTCTCTGAACATTTCTGAAAGGGAATAAAATAAGTTTTTTTTTTAAGTATTATTTAAAACTTGTAACTGAGTTATTATAAAATGTAAGGGGAATAATTCTTTTAATTATACTTATCAGATTTTTTTTTTTTTTTTACTCTTCATTTCAACAATACATATTCCAAAACTCTTTATTGTGTTCTTAAGTGCGCATCTCATAGCATTTGCTTGACAATACCTTTTAACAGATTGCTTAACAATACGAACAATTCTTCTTAAATAGTTTTATAACGTATTTGTCAACAGGATTTCAATTTATGTTTACAATTCAATATTAAGTTTTTTATATATTTAGATAACATTTATAATCATTATAAATTAGATACATTTAATAATTAGATTTCTTCACAGTACTTTCACAGTTGTTTATAAGTGAATAAATTCTTCATTTCAAATACATTTATAAATAATTTAATGAATATTTAAGTATTTTGTCAAAGGCAGATACATGCTTTTTGCAAGCACATGCATAAATACCCATACATATTTCCTATTTTTCATTTCCGGCATGTGCAAATCTTTAATTTCTGTGCATTCACTATATTTTTCGTTTAAATGTACCGTAAGGTATTTTTCATTCTTTAAGCATAACATTTTTTCTTAAAATCTATATTTTTGTAGTGCAACAGCTTAGAATTTTATGAAACAAATTCATAATCAAAATCGCTCTTGTTAGTTATCGAAAAATAACCAAGATGTGATTTTTGCGTAAATGTCACTAAACTATACAAATTGCTGTTATCCATCACACTATGAATGTTTCTTTCATGCGAAAGTGTCCCTTTTTCGATTTCTATGGAACTGTCGTGTGTCGAAATACTATCAGAATCTTGTCAAGCGAGCTTCTGAATGTAAACAAAGAACACCCCATCTGGTGACCCAAGCTTCAAAGCAGTGCTTCACTTTAGCGCGGGTTGGCCCCTCCTCCCTTTCCAAGCTCCATGGGATCACCTATCTGTTGCTGAAGAGAAAAACATTTGACACTTAATTTTTTTTTTTTTTTTTTTGTTCCTCAAATGTTGTATTATCTATAGTTTTACTTGCTGGACCAATGATTTTCTCTCCAGCATGTGAGCTTTCTTTTTTAGGGAGCTATTAGGGTTTTCGGAAAATAATGCAGGTTTTTAACCTGTATCTTTAAAGTACCATAACTCAACTCAGAAACAATTTTATTAATCAAAATAAGCAGCAGCCGAATTAATGCATTTTTGCCAATGAGATATAAGTTTATTTATGCCGGTAGAATGGAGTTCTGAACGCGATAAAGTTGTCAAAGACGTTTTTGACCTCGTCTTGGTTTCTGAAGCATTTCTTCTGCAGAATGTTATCCAGATGTTTGAAAAAGTGGTAATCGGTCGGCGAGTGGTCAGGCGAATATGGGGGAAGAGGGAGTTTCGTATCCCAATTCGCCCAATTTTCTGTAGGGTCAGTTGCACGACGTCCGACAAAGCATCGTCGTGGAGAAGAACTTGCCGCTTTTTGTTGACCAATTGCCGAGCACATACGTTGCAATTTTTGGTGCATTTCGTTGATTTGCTGACAGTACTTATCTGCTGTAATCGTTTTGCCCAGATTTACGAAGCTGTGGTGGACAAGACCGGCCTCAAACCACCAGTCACCATAATTTTATTTTGGTGCAAATTTGGCTTTGGAAATTGTTGTGTCTGACCGCGGTCCAACCACTGAGCTGAATGTCGCCAGTCGTTGGAGAGAATCCACTTTTCATCGCACGTAACAATTCGATCAAGAAAAAGGTCGTTTTTGTTGCGGAGAAGAAGAGCAGACAACACTTCAAAACGGCAAGTTTTTTTTTTTTTTTTTTTTTTTTTTTTTATAAATTTTCGCTCAATTCGTAAGGCACCTAATTAGCGAGCTTCTTTGACTTTCCTATACGATTCAAGTAATCAGAAATCGTTGTTTTGCTTACGCCAAGCTCTCGAACAGTTATGCACGGGTTTGTTTCAACCAAAGTCTTCAAATCATCGTCATCAACAGCTGAAGAGCGTCCACGACGCTCTTGATCTTCCAGGTCAAATTCTCCACGACGAAACTTTTGGTAACACCATTGAACTGTAGATTCATTAACACTTTTCTCACCCCATACTTCGTTGACATTTCGAGCCCTTTGTGCTGCGCTGTGGCCTAGTTTCTACTCATAAAAGTAAATTTGCAGAAAATCCCGTCTTGACCTCTAAACAAAAACACCTAGTCAATATTTCTGAAAATAATTTTAGAACAAAATGATTATTATAGAAATATAGAGCGAAAATAGAGCTTCAAAATGATATATAAACTAATGTAATTCAAAATATTTTTGTTGCTAAACATGTACAGGAAAGATAAACAATTGCAAAAACCTGCATTATTTTCTGGACAACCTGATATCATTTCTGCTATTTTAAAAGATGCTTCAAATAGCTGTGTTAACTATGGTAACCAGGGTCGATTATAGCGGGGGAGGGCAGGAGAGATGGTGCACTGCACTTGGGCGGAAAAATGAGTATCAGACATGTTCTATTTCTGTATTTGCTATGAATAAATTAATGCGATTTCAGTGCTTTTAAAATATGCCTAAATAAATATATTCTTTTTGTTGTTGTTTGCTTGTTTTTTCTGTTTATCTCCGAAATAACTTATTACACATCGGCTGTGAATCATGGATCTAGACCTCTGTGTTATTCCTCTGCTTTAATTTAGGATTTTTGAATAATGTAATAGAACTGTGTTGTAGCTGTTGGCAGTCATGTGAAATAAGTAATTTTCAGACACCTTAAATTTAAGGGAAAAGGGTGTCCACCGAAAACATCGCGGACAAAACAACGCAAGGCGAAAACGTCGTGGTGCAAAACATCCTGGGAGAAAATAAAGCAAAGAGAAAACGTCGCAGTTCTAAAACATCGTGGCATAAAACATCGTCGTCGAAAAATATCGTGATAAAAAGTAAAGTACCTACAAGTCATCGCATGACAATAACATCTCATACATGCGTTTTTTCAGGCTTTAATAACTGTAAAATTTAATAATTGTAAAAACTCGCATAATGGTTTGTGAGCGCAAGATGTAAAGAAGGATAATTTTTACTTTCATATATTTTTATTAACTAATAAATATTGGCAAAATGGGAACTTAAGTATAGAAAATTAATGCAAGTTATAGCACTTAATAGAATTTTAAACTAACATATTTAACCAGCAAAGGTCATTAATGAAATATTTTTATAAGTTTTACTGGTAATTTTTAATGAAAAGTATTATCTAAAAAAGAATAGAAAAAAAAAAGATAAGTAAAAAATTGTCGAGTTAATGATGAGATAATTATCTTCACTTTTGTTAATCTGATACTCTTATAATGAAAATTACTTCTTGTTTTATTTAAATTTCTTGTTTTGCTTTTTTTTAAATGTATTAATTAAAAAAAATATGAATGTGAAAATTATCCTTCTTTCCATCTTGCGCACACAAATCATTATGCGAATATCCATTTGCAATTATTAAAGCCTTAAAAATCATGTCTGCGATGTTATCGTCATGCGATAATTTGTAGGTACTTTATTTTTTACCACGATATTTTCGACGACGATGTTTTTAAACTGCGAAGTTTTTGAACCGCATTATTTTCGACGACGATACGATATTTTGTACCACGATGTTTTAGAACTGCGATGTTTTCTCTTTGCTTTATTTTCTCCCACGATATTTTGTATCACGACGTTTTTGCCTTGCCTTGTTTTCTCCGCGACGTTTTCGTCCGCGATGTTTTCGGCTGTAACCAGGGAAAAGTGGAAGTATATCTTTTTAATGTTTTAATAATTAAACCACTTAGATCATATAAGAGGTTAAATGCTTTTAATAAATGAAAATTATTACTCCTTAAGTTAATTTTTAAGAACACTAATTGTATCCCATTAAAGCGGTTAATATTTAAAGCAATTAACTTAATGTATTTTGTGTTTGGATTTATCGATTTTATTTTTAACGACAAAATGGTAAAGAACTTTGTAATTTTTGTAAGCAGTTTTTGCAGTTGTTTTGATAATATTCCCCCCTGAAAAAAAAGGCTGATTAGAACATACTTGATGTACTAATTTTATTGTTGGCTATGTCAGTTGATAAATAAATGTCAATTTATACAGCTTTAAAAAATTTAAATTCAAATATGTAAGTTATAAAACAATACTATTATAATATAGGAAGAGCTAAACAGTTTACAGCAATTTATTCATTGAATGAAAGTAACAGCATCCTATTGATTGTAATTACTAGGAATACTAAATGTAAATTATATCCTTCTAACATCAAAATTTCAGATTTCATTCTTTTTATATTTTATAATTTGAATGTTTAACTCTTAATTTTTTTTTAAAGCAAAAGTAGCTAGATATGCAGCAAGAGCGAGAAAAGATGTGCATTGTCCTGTTTGTAATTTGGAGCTATCAGGCACTCAGGAAGAAGATACAAATCATGTTCTGCTTTGCCTTGAACAAGTATCTGTCAGATTCTTACCTCAGTTTTAAATAAACAATTTTAAGACCTTTTGTTATGTGTTTAAAAGTCAATGAAAATGTGTAGTATGTTTTTATGCATAGTTTGACATATCAAAAATCATTTCAAAGATAGGAATTATTAGATCTAACAATATTTAGCACTTAAGATAAAGCCATTATTTTTCATTTGTGAGTTTAAGATTTGCATATTATAATCACAGTAATAGTTTTGAAAGGTAAAATTGAGATAAATTGAACTGTTAAGGGCTTTATCAGGATGGGCATGTTTTCAAGTAACCCAGCAAGAGTTTTTTTGGACCCAGAATTCTTGGGACTTTTTGGCTTGTCTCTACCATCAAGAAGATTGTAGAAATGGAAGATTAAGATTAGAGATATACAGCATGAGTCATTTTATTGACTGATGGCTGGCAGCTTATTCATGGGAAAAATTGCTAGAAGGTTTTTCGTAGTGCAGTGTTACCTGAAAGATAGCATAGTTTACTAAGACCTTTACAGGCATACCAAAGAAGGCACGGATTTTTGAAGTGCATGGTATCTGGTCGTCCTGAAAGCACTTGTTGAGCCAAAAGTCAAGTGATTTATTTGTAGAGGATGAGGTGTAGAGACCCTCAGGGTGTTCTCCATTAAAATTTGAGTGGGATTTAACTGTTCAAAATTTGGAAAGAGCTGCATATTTAGTATGCTGGGACTTATACTTTACATAACCAATAATGAAATTATGTTCTGCCCATTTCTACTTGTTTATGTGCTAGCCGCCCTAATCGACATAATGATTAGGGCTTCTGGCTACTGCCTCATCGGGCTCGGGTTTTAATCCTAGGGAAAGCATAGGTGTTGTAAGTGTATAGTGTCTGTGCAGCATGAGGGCACTCAAATTACTTGGCTAGCCACCAAAAGTCTTCTCAAGGGGTTGATGATAGGGGAAGAAGGATAGGAGAACCTTGGACCATTCCTTGGGATGTTCTCCATCAAAATTTGCGTGTAGTTTAACTGCTAGTTATGTACTATACCTTTACAACCAACAGTGAAATTCTGGTGCCCCATCCACTTCTTCATGTTCTGTACCTGTGCATAGCCTGCTTGTCATTGTGGTGGTTAGCGATGCTGAGTACTGTCACTGTTCCCAGTTTTGAGTCCTAGAGAAGACTTGGATGTTTGTAAATATATAATGTTTAACATGTGACACTTAAAATACTGATGGGTTGAGAGTTATCGTGAGAAGTCTGATGGTAAGGGAAGAGGGATTTGAGACCCTCAGATCTATTTCCCAAAGTGTTCTCCACCAAAACTGTGTGGTGGAGCAGTATAGTAAGTGCAATGAGACTATACCTGTTATAAACCACTGTTGAAGTTCTGGTGCGCTGTTACTGTATCTGTGCACTGTTACACTGATTTTTTGTATGGTTTGCTATTCTTCTTATAACAACAGTAATAGTGTTGGAACAGAACGAGAAAAAAATAAAATATCTATTTAGAAATATTTTTTTAATTATTAGAAAATTTCTGTATTTGGCTACTATGATATTTCTGTTGGATAATGCTAGTACTGTATCCATAAAGGTTCCTATCTGGCCTTTATTTTTACAACTGCTGGTTGTAGATACACATTTCTAATTAGAAAAGTATTTTGAATGAAGTAAATATTCATGTTTTTGCACTTTTTAAATTAAAAAAAAATAAGGAAGTCTAACTTTTTATACATCCCCCCAGCCTTTATACTTATATTTAGAAGCTATTATACTAATGATAAAAATATACCAAAAATGGGACTTAGAGTCAGCTAAAATTGACCGAGATATTTTATTTTAAGGTTAGCTTGGTTTGAAATATTTGGGGTCATATACAAATTATGGAGAACAATATTTAAATTTGCATGTAATTAAAAATACAGTATCAGCTTAGGAAAATTTGTCTGGTGATAGTGGATTAAGTGAGGAGCATTGATAGCAGACTGTTGTGAAAAATTTTGTTTAATACAAAATTTTTAAAGAGATTTTAATTTCCAGCAGAGAATGCAAATGGCAAGAATCCATTGTAAGACCATTCTTTAAATGACAGAATCAATCTGCATATTCTTTTGAATCAGAGCTTAAATTGTGACGGAGCCTGGCTCCTGGTACTTCTTAGTTTTGGTAAAATATTCTAATTTTAGCCGGAGCACACTAGAGCCCTAAATAAGAAGGCTCTGGCACTTTTTTATGTAATGGAACAATTATGTTAGTAGAAATCTGATCTAGAAAATTTTACTTTTAGCAATAAAATTATATAAAAAATCGATTATTAAATTTTAATTTAGCTCTTTCATTTTATTTGATTACTTTAATCTTTAATTATTTAATAAATAATAATCAATTAATTGTGAATTAATTAATATAATAATTAAAAAGTAATAAGTAATAAATATTAATTATTAATATCAAATAAATAATTGTTAATTAATTTGATACTCATTAACTATTTAATTTTTAAAATACTAATGACTTTTAATAGTCATTTTATTTAGTTATTTACTCTTGTTCCTCATTCGTGATGGTCTTTCATAGGGCTCCGGCACTTATACTTTTAGAAATTAAGCCCTGTTTTGAATAGGAAGAAAAATTAAAGATGGAATGATATTTTCTAATAATCTATAAATCAAAATGCTATGCAGGTGGGGTAGAGCAGTTTGCTTATTTTGAAATTCAATAAAAGAAAAAGTAATGCATATATATATATATATATTTATTTCTTTGAACAGCATCAAGTACAGCATGTAAAGTTTATGGTTGCACTGTTTTAAAGATATCAGGCAGATGGCGTCCATTATTCTCAACACATTGCGTTATTCGAACTTGGAAGTTTCGTTCAGCTCTTTCCAGTGATGTGTTATAAGAAAAAGCTATGCCAAAAAATGAAAACAAACATACAGGAGCACACACATTTAATAAATATATATCTCGTAATTTATATTTAAATTGAAATAATGCAACTGTGTGTTAGCTGTAACTGTAATTCTATTCTTTTGCTTTACAGAAACCTCGAGAAATTATGAGAAGCTTCTCGTGACTGATTAAAAAGCTTATAAAAGCCTGAGAAAAATACCTCAGTTCCGTTGTTTACTAAGTTTTTGTTGTTGATTGTAACGATGACGGGTATGTTGACTATAGCTTGACAAATGTTGCATTTCAAGTGAGCCAGTGTGTTAGGACCATGGTTGTAAACAAGTGATTTTAGATAGCCTCATAGGAAATAATCACAGGTGGCTAAATCAGGCATCATGCTGGCCAGTTCAAATTGCCTCTCAAAGAGATGAGACGTCTTGCCGCAAAACAGTCATTTACACACGAGCTGTATGTGCCGTGGTACTGTCGTGCTAGAACCATACATCTCCCACATTCATCTCCTTGAGTTATGGTAAGAACTCCTCAATCATGTATACGTAACGATGAGAAGTCACTGAAACGGCTCTTTCGTTTTCTTCAAAAAACCATGTCCCAGTTTTTCCAACTCGCGATACTGCACACCAAACAGTAAAGAGGTTAACACACTTGGCTACAGTCCTGGCTAGACAGGACTTTTCTGAGAAACGAGATTTTGGCAGTCCTGATTTAACCGTGAGGATTCCTAGAAAAAAGGGCCCCACCTAGCTGCGGAAACGATGTTGCGGTTACGCGGGATTTTTCAAACCTCACTGAAAATATCTCGGCTGGACTCTGTCCTGGGTAGAGACAACCAATCAGACGTAAGTTCTGCTTCTGAAGCATCACGTGATCCCAATTTGAGCGATAATCAATTAGTGTTTGGCATTCAAGTCTTTGTAATAAATGAAAATGGTAACCTAGCTATGTGGGTTTCTTGGAATTGTGTGGGTTATGAAAATTGTCCCTTTCGACGTGAAGTCCCACGTAGCCGAGGCATAATGTGATTAGGACATTACACGTTCTCAGAGTAGCAACTCTCCCGATTTAGGCAGAAAAGTCTTGATTTCAGACCATTCACCCGCCAACCGGATTTTTAATAGATTTCTCCTGACTTTTTTCTCATTCTTAAAATTTCTCATGATTTTTATGTATCTGGCTTAATACTTTGTTCTTTGCACCAAAAAAGTGATTCTCGGCATCACTTGGTTTTTCTGTAGATTACATCTTAAAAAAACAAACTCGTTTCATCAGTGAGAAATTATTCTGCGCTTCTGCTTTGTGAAGTGAGACTAAATATGTTCGAAAACGTTGTGTTCTGGTTCTCCAATCAGGATCGAGCGCCAGTGCGTATTATCTGGCATATATTAGCCAATGAGCACAAACTAAGGTCAAGGCTGTTATTTCGTTCATCTTGTCATTGACCAGTGTGAGTGCACGGGCTTTCGAGAAATAGTTTAAGAAATTACAATATTTTGTATTTTATGTTTTATAATGAGTGTAATGTTTTCCTAAATCTAAGTATAGGCATCAGGGGAACTTACAAAAAAATTATTTTTTTTATTTTTTTTTTTTTATTTTTATTTTTTGAGATTACTGACTCATATTTATGATTCATCGAGGAAATAATAGATTTTTACAGAAATTTTAGCATTAAATGAATGTGATCATTTTCTTAATTAAGCTGAGCAGGATAGCTGTTTAACTGAAAGTGACTATTTCTACTTATGGTTTGTGATATGTAAAAGTTTTCTGTATTGTATAATACATCTGTGTTTTATAAATCACATAAATATTCTTATATCATTTCCTTGCTAGGATGAATTTGCTGAAGAAGACATTATTATTGATGATGATGAAAACTTTGAAGAGTATGACTTTGCAGATCAAACCAGAATTCGAGCAATTAGTTTAATTCCTGGAGGCTATAGATGTAAATTTCAATTTCAATCTTTTTTTTTTTTTTTTTTTTTTTTAAGTAATACAGCATTTTGACTCCAGTGTCTAGTTATATAGAGGAGTTTGTTGGAAATAATATATTTTGCTGGCACTGTGGACTATAGTATAACTATTATTACAGTACGAAGTCCGAGATCTGGACGTCCAATATCCGGAATAATCTAAAATCCGGACCCCAAAACCGCCAATATATATATATATATTTTCTTTTTTATAAATGCTTTATGCATACGCATTTGATTTTTTTCCCCGCAGATAAAACACGTGAAGAGTCTGATTCTTAATTTCCCTTAGGCACTAAATAAATACCTCGTTATTGAAGAATCAATAATTTAGCATAAATTTATGTGAGCAATAATTTGGCTCTGTAGCTGCAATCTCAGGCTGAAACATTCTATATAGAAACATCATTGATTTTACTCCTAATAATACTTTATATCCCTGACGCCAATCACCGTATGTTTATCAACACCTGACAACTTGAGCAATGGCTCATACAGGAGATGCCCAAAGATTTATATATATATATATATATATATATTTATAGAGTATGGTAACCTTTTATGTTGACATTCTTAAGCTTGGCAATGATTACAGATTTAACTTAAATGTGCTAAGAAATATTAACGAGGAAAAATTTAACAAAAGTTTCTTTCCATATGCTGAAAATAGATTTTGTTGATGATATTCATAGGCCAAAAGATTACATTAGCGCTAAAGAATAACTGATTTGTTTTTCACATAAACCCAGAACTGGCGTCAGAGCTCATATACCCGTACCGAGCGGCATAATTTACCGAAGACAAGATTTTTGCAATTTAGAGAAGCACTGAGCAACAAAAATTAAAGGATGAAAATATTTTTAGAATTTAAGGAAGGCACTGTGACCCAAAATTTAGGGGCCACAAAAATTTAGAACTTAGGCGCTTGTTAGTAGAATTTAGTACCTGCAGAGACTGCATCAGGTGGTAAGAAATCTAGCGCCGACCCTCAAAAACCCTTAAGTATATGTGGGAATTTGTTTATTCAGGATTCAGAAAAGCCTTAAGCATATGCAAGAAATAGATGGAAGTATAAGAAATAGCTTAACTAATACAATCAGGCTTACTTGTCTCAATGCGCGATAGAAGAAAAAAAGTTTTAACGGAACAACTTGTCTTTCATCCCCAATCTCATGACACGTAGCCAATAATGTGTAGCGAATGCTGTTAAGCTAGGCTAAAATTATACTTTACTGATTCCGAGGAATTTCAGCCAATGTAGCAGATTGCGCTGTTCCTTAGCTTTCTGATTTCATCCAGCTTAATTATTTTTTCCAGGTTGTTTTTATTTCAGCAATTTGATGAAAATTAAAGTTTCAGCTTTCAATCATGTTGAGAAGAGTTTCTAACTATGCAGCTGTAACAGGATCTATAAAGCGAAAGCATGTTTCAGTGTCCATTATACAAAATGTGCAATTGCTGCAAAAAATGGATGAAGAAAAATTATGCTAGGAGTATGGCATTGGAAAGTTAACTGCATATAACATAAGATAACAGAAAAAGGAACTTTCTGAATTTTCTGTGGATTCCGACTCCCCACTTGTGATGAACAACAGAAAGTTATTCGTTATGTTAAAAGTGAAGATCATGACAAAGTGATAATTGAATGGGTCAGATAGCATCGCAGCGAGGGCATGCCATTGACTGGTCAAATGCTAATGATGCAATCTAAAATATTTCACTAAAAAATGAACTTAAAAAGAACTGAGTGCACAAACCAAATTTAAAAATCGCCATGGTATAAGGCAATTAAGAAATTCAGGCAAAAAAACTTCAGCTGATACTGAAGCTGCTGTACTATTTGGAGATGAAGTCATTGAACTCATTAATAGTTAAAAGTTTTCTCAAGAAAAAAATTTACAACGCTGATGAAACTGGTCTTTTCTGGCAATACATTACGGCAAAATACCTTGGCAACCTCTAGACTAGCAATTTTAGCGTAAATGCGGCAGGAACGCACAAGTGAAAAGTTTTTGTAATCAGAAAAATTGCCAGACTTCGAGGGTTAAAAGTTTCCTGTTATATATCGTACAAATAAAAGAACACAGATGACACAAGTGTTAATGAATGATTGGTTTGAAAATCGTTTCATATCCGAGGCTCGGCAGAATTTGGTTAATTTACCTCTCGACTCAAAAGTTGTCCTGATTGTAGACAACTGTTTGGTTCATACTTCACTTAAAGTTTTAGTGAAAGATAATGTATCCGTATTATTCTTTCCTCCAAATTGTACGCCCATCATTCAACCCATGGATATCAGAATAGTGCACGTGCTAAAATGCAAATATATTGTAGAATTTGTATATCATTAAACCAGAGATTAAATTAATGGAATTTTTAAAGAAATGTGGAGAAGCGGTAATAAATGAAGGCGATGCAACAGAAGTTTTTCATTGCGATGACATTGCCCCAATTATCAATCAATAAACAGACGTGAAATCTGTAAATATGGTTCTGGATTCAGAAAATATCGCTACCGATAGTGAAGAAGGGTTGACAGAGAGGTTATTGAAAACACAAAAATTTCTATTGACAAGTTAGTTGAAATTCTGGACACAGCAATTACAAGAACTTGAACAATGGAACTTTGTTACTGAGTTAAGAAATTATGTCTGTGTACAGAATTAAAGAGAAAATATTAGCACAAAAAAGCAACTTAAACAAGTTACATTGTAAGAAATGTTTAATAAAGTAAATACATAAATATTAAGTTTTTTTTTTTTTTTTTTTTTTGTAAATTTTGTTATCCTTTAGATCCATAAATGGTTCATTATTTCATAAATTACAATTTCATATTTTTAATTTTATAATTTCTACATGCCATCTTATAAGCATTAAACTGGTGATCTAATATCCAGAATCACCGAAGTCCTGACGAGTCCGGATCTTGGACTTTGTATTGTAATTATTGTGAAATGTTCAACTTCTGAAATTGTCCAATATTTTTTAGAACATAATGACCACCAGTATTGAAAGTTACTGATAGTTACGCTGTCTTAGAAAATGACCTCTACAGAAAAATAAAAAAAAAGACTGTCTATACTTCTCAAGAAGATTTCATGTATCACATTTAATGTTTGCTACCATTTTCCTTTAATGATTACTTTTTGCTTTCAAAATCAGACCACTTGAATAGGATTAATTCTAAGCAAACATTTTCCTGTATTTTTTATGAGAATTTTATTCTTGTACTTATTGTTAGTTTATCTCTGCCAGTTTAATTACTTTGGTGTTACTATTGTCTGCAAATAATTTAATTTAAAGTTAATTTTTAAAGTTTTCAAAGTTTAATGCTTTATTACTCTGTAACATTAATAAAAGATAATTTTATTCAGCTTTGTTATTATAATTATCATCATCATTATTAGTCCAAAAGGGCACTAGCCTGAGTAGGCTATTAGTCTCGAAATGAAATTTGGCAGTTTAAATGTCTGAATCACTTTTCAAATTGGTGCCATGAAATATTATCGCCCTGTGTTATTTTTAAAGACATTAAATAATGAAGGATCTGCTTGAATGTATGTATTTTTCTGGCACTGTGAAAAAATGATGGTACATAGGGCCATCAAATTTTGAATAACGTAAAAAATTAAATGAGTTTTTAACAAACTGAACGATTTGAAAGCAAGCAGTGGCAACGCGGTATGGATTAAAACATTGTTGTTGCTAGTGTGCAAGACTATGTATATTGGAAATTCTAAAAATATACTGTTTTTGAATATTATTGAATTTGTTATTCAACTGAACTTTATGTGGCATAAGTCCAAAGAGCATGATATTTAATTAATAAATCTAATACACAAAATGTTAATAATAAAAAGACAAAAAAAAAGTTTTGCAAGCCATCTTACTAAGAAAATTGTACTCTGATATGATAAATTGAGAAAAAACTGAAAAAAGTAGAAAAATATATGCCAACACTTAATATTTCATTCGGAATTCTAAACACATGCTGCTTTTAAAGTTTTTGAAATTTTGCTGTTGAACTGATTGTGGCATAAGTGCAAAGAAAATAGTGCTTAATAATGAAGCCAAAAAATGTATGGGTTTACAGGAGCAAGTACAACAGCAGACTGGTGTGCTGGGTTCTCAGCGAGAGCATAGAAAATCCTTAACAAACCCTTTTGGACAACCGTTAAAATCTGAAACCTTTCAGATTTTTTTTAATGTACATAACTGCATTTCATCATATACAGTAAAAGCCTGACTATCCAGCATTCATCTAAGTGGAATAACTAGAATATTTTAAAATTTTTGAAACATACTCCTCCAAAAATAAAGAAAATGAGAGACTTATAAAGGTGTTATAAAGCATATATAGGACACTGTTTGATACCAATAATGGATAAGTGAGATGTCACAACACAACCATAAAATTTTCATCTTAGTTTCTTGTAAGCCTAGAGATGGTGCTAGGCATTTTGCTACTGCTTAAGTCTGGAGACCCTAAATTCTAAACCCTTTACTGCCTTTGAATTCGATCACATCGTGCCTCTCTCAAGTTCTAAAAATTTAACCATCCTTAAATTTTGCTGCTCAAAGTTTTTCTAAAGTCTAAGAATTTTTCCACCCCTGTATTCTACCACTTGGTGTAGCTGCACTGACTCTGCAGCTGGCCCTTTGTAAATCCAATTAATTCTTGATAAGCTGGTTTATTTTTTGTTATGAAAGATGTAAATTAATTGCTTTATTTGTTTTTCTGTCACATTTTAGCAAACAAACAAACAAAATAAATAAATAAAATAAAATAAAATAAATAAATAAATAAAATTTGGGACCTGCCTTCCATGGAATATTTTTTGCAGTGGAATATTTTTAGTGTTGTAGGATCCTGGCATTAAGAAAAGAGTGCTTTAATGGGCACAGCATGGGACTTCATAAATATTATGAAAAGTTATGATAAGTGATTCAAGTTTTCTATATGCTGTATCTATAACTTGTATCTGTTGCTTATCTAAAAGTAGGTAAAGAGTGACCTTTCTTTTTAACTTCTGTCAGAATGATTGGTGCAAGTTTGGTTTCCAGCTCTTCCAGCTTTCATGGTGAACAGGATTCCATAATTGGATAAGCTGTTTTACTTTAGTATGTTTAAGGCCTACGAAATATGTCACCTTTTGTATCTGAAATGGATTTTTTTAAATCTTGCATAATTTTAACTGTAGGCATTTGATAATAAGTTGATACGAAATAAAATGGCTGTGTTTTTTATTTTAAACTGCAAATTTCTACCATTTGTTTGGCTTCACTATGAGTTGTATTTTTTTATATTTTTATTTATTCAGTATTTTCATATATCTGGCATTTGGCATTTTCCAAGCTTTCCAGGTAGTCCACCTTTTATTGTACATATAATATTTATACATTAAAAATGCATATTTTGTTATATGTTTTTACTTATATATTAATTTATATATTTTATTATTTTAATTTTCTTTTGATTTTTATATATAGGAAAGAAATTAAGAAAATCTTAAAAATATAAATACTATATAAACAAAAGGAATTATTGTTTTTAATTAGCAAAAATATATTGAAATTGAATTGTATTAAATACTAAATTATAACTTTCCAAACTATAACAAAAATGCAAAAGAAAAAAATTGAGAATTAGTAAAAAATGAAATAAGGACTTTTGCAAAAGTGAAGTAGCCTAAGCTAGATGGCCAACAGACAGATTGATCTATTTTTGCTATCGTTGAAGTTGGACAAAAATAATTCAGTTTCCTGTTCTAATTAATTGGTAGGACAGATTAATATTTCTGTTACTATGCAATTTTCAATCTAAAAAAACCAAAATAAAATCAATCATTTCAAAACAATTACATAGCTCTATCCCCTATATCAATCTGAACAGCCAAGAAAAAACAAACGAACAAAAAAAAAAAAAAAAAAAAAAAGTAAAGTAATTTCTTCAAAATGTGGAGTATGAGTAAACTCAAAAATTTTAAGTTGATTAAAATTACTCTTTCCAACCAGCAAATAGTAACTGGTCCACAACAGGTATGCTTACTGCACTACTTTATCTGTGTTAGCATTAAAATATCTGTCAATAAAAATAAAAAAATTTAAAAACTTGGGGGAAAAGGATAATAATGTAGATGTTGATGTTGCAACAGAGTAGTGAACTTGGTTTATGGAATGATGAAAATTGGATCATTAAATATAGCAGTCCCTGTAACCAATTTAAAGTTTTTTTATTCTTGAGAAGCATATTCTTAACATGTATTATATATCATAATCATTATGATGTGCCTGTTCTTTTTTACAATTGTATATTTTCTACATCTTCATAACAGCTAATTTCAATGAAATAAAAAAAAAGTATTAAGCAATTTGGCAGGACAGAAGAGAGAGAATGCAACATAAGTAAGATGAAAGTTTTCTTCAGAATGAGTTGGTGTCATTTCACATTTAATCCCTATTAGATAATAAGTTTCAGTTCCCAAATTTAAATCATTATTAGCTGAAGTGCTTTGTAAACATCTGCCTCATGAACATAATGCAAGAATCAAATAACATGTATTAATTTTGAAATGATGCAGTTCAGAGCAGCTGCTATTTTTAGTTTGGGAAAAAAAAAAAAAAAAAAAACCCGAAAGAAAGAACCGAATTGAAATGGAGAGTTACAAGGGTTAATACAAGTTAAAAATTCTATTTATATATTTTTTACTTTGTGTTATATATGCACACACATTTGCTATATTTTATTATAAATGCTATCTGTGAATATTTTATTTAGCTCTTCATGGACAATCTACTAGAAATGCCGTAGCAGATGAAGATGAAGATGTTGATGTAGATGTCATTGATGATAATACTGTGACTTACGGAGAACCTCAGTATCCTTTAGTTTCTTTTCAATTTGAAATTAAATATACTCATATATTCATATAAGCTTATATTATCCTGATCCTATTTATTGGCAGTATACATTAACTTGTGCAGACCTTTCGATGCAGTTCACTGCTTCTGCTATAATTTATCGAAGCTATAATGTGAGTCTATATGAGGCCCAGAAGTGCTGTGCTTTTAATCTTTATGTGTAGAAATACTTGCAGAAAATATTGCCAATGTGTGATCTAAAAAGCATTAAAATAACCTTTTCATACACAAAGCAGTGTGTGAAAAGATAATAATTGATAAAGAATAATTGATTATCAGTCATCACTGCAATAATTTGACGTTAATGTGCTTGAGAGAATATTGCAAAAATATGTGATGTGGATTTATATTTATTATGTGATGTGAGCTAAATATGTGATATTTAGCTCAAGCTTAATTGTTAGTAAACTTTTAAAAATAATTACAACATAATGAGATGCTTTTAAAATACAATAGAACTTATTAGTTATATCTAAAGAATGGTTTGATATAAATGTTTGGTTCTCAGTCATAAAAATATTCACAACTATTATGCTTAACGTAATTTGATATACTGAATTAGACGTCATTCCTAACTACACGGAAAATGGAGGGGATGAAGAACTACAACTACGAAAGGCTGTGCTTCTGTGAGTAATTTTTATATTTTCTCATGAAATGCAAATAATTTGTCCTTTTGATATTTGCTAAAGTAATTATCCACAATTATTTTCTTCTAAATACCATGAACACTTTAAAATGATCATCCCCAGTTTCAGACTTTTTTTTTTTTTTTTTTTTTCTTCTTCTATGGAGAGATAGTGTTTGAAAAATAACTATTAATGATTGTGACAGTTGATTTTCATAATGGATTTGTCCTATTTGAATTTGTTAAAAAAATACTGAAGCAGAAGTGTGGTATATCAGTTTATTAATGCTATTTTATTAATAAAAGTATGAATTAATTACAAAGATACTCATCTTTGTAGCAAAAAAAGAAACTTGGGAAAAATATTAACTTAATTTTTTGAAATATTGTAGGTGAAAGATATTTTAAAATGAAGAAGACAGATTTTATGTCTAAAATAGGAAAACTGTTCATGCATTTTACATTATGCATTTTTTATGTTAAAGCTTTAAAAAAAACTTATAAAGCCTTCATAAATTGTTTATTTTTAGTTTAAAGTAAGTTACTTAATGATTAATTAAACATGTTAGAGTTATTTTTTTATGTTTTTAGTAAATTCAAAATCATTTCTTACTATTAAAATATTCATCAAATGAATTATATGTACTCGAATTTTTCTGTAGCTAATCACTTTTTAAAAAATAATATTTGAAATGTCATAAAAGTAGATAAATCATCTTTTTACAATCAGTCATTTATCATCCAATTTTATGTGTGACAGACCACCAGCAGAATCTTCAGTAACTTTTGATCATGTTTTTACATGTAATGCTTATACCTTTTGTTTTACAGATAGCTTAATTTAACATTAATGAGTTAAGATTTATAAAGTTTGGGTGGGGGAAAAAAGATATATACCTACATGCACTCAACTATCAGTTTTGAAATAAAAGTGATTAATGCTGTCAAAAGCTGAATGAACTTCTGTGGCATCAACTGAACATTAATTTGTCATACATTGACAACACTGATATGTTGTATGTTCAGATGAAAATGAATTGATAAATAGATATGCATTTATTTTAAAGAATTTAGGAATATGATGAATCATTTAAAGAATGCTATTCATAACTATCTAATCAGATCTGTAAAATAAACTGTATCAAAATGTAAGTACTAAGAAAATAATTAATGATCCAGGAATTATTGACTATATTGTTTACCATGAAAATAGTTTTATAATAAGAATTGGAAATGTTTAAGAGAGAGTCATCTTAAAGAGAAATTTTAATCATCATTTATGAAGTGCTTATTTATGTTCCAAGAAATATTAGTTTCTTTGAAAAGTGGTTATCTTTAGAAGGTTCTTTATATTTGATCTCTCTCTATTTGTAATTGTAGTGAAAAGCTCGCCCTCTAGTAGTAAAGTGACTAAAACAACAATTGCATTGAGAGAAGCAGTGCAGTTGGTTTACTGTTCCTGAAAATGATCTGCAAACTGTTGATGCAGATACTGTCCTCCTGTTTTTGTGTAGTATAAAAGTGAGTTTTTCAGAAATGGTGTATAACAGAAAAGATAAACTAATTTTTTTTTTTTTTTTTTTTTTTTTTTTTTTTGCCTCAGTATACTTCAAAAGATTCTAAAATTCTAGAACTAAAATTCAGATAAATTTCTGTATCTAAAAGAAAGTCTTCTCTTGGATCTAATGTCCTTGTTAATTAAAGAGAGGATAGAGTACTATGGATTTAAAAATCCATTCCATCAAGAATGTATGTGCATTCCAAGCACTTCACTTCTAGTGATTACAGTTTGCTACCAGAGGTGGCATCTTATCGTGCGGCGTTCTCAAAGTCAGGGCTGCATGCGACCCCTGAAGCAATTTTATGTGGCCTGCAAATGCTTTTGTTGTAAAGATATCAAGAATTTAGTTTTTTGAAGTTCTAGTTTAGTATTTTCATTCATTATTTCATACTTGTAAAAAAATTAATATGCTCAGTTACGAGCTTATGCACTAAGAATAATTGCTTTGTTTAGGAATGCATTTATACGTAAACAGCTTTTTTTCGCAGTTGAAATAAAGTAAGAAAAGGAATTATTATTTTTTTAAATCAACGGTACATTAAAGTCAATAATCACTCTAAATATAAAGCTTTTTATTGAATCATTGATTTTATTGAGAATCATAAATTTAAATTCAGCGAACACCGTATTTGATGGTATATAAGATGCACTTTTTTTCCTATATTTGGTCTCAAAAAAGTTACCTGTTTCTTATACGTGAAGGTAATTGCATTCAATAATTGTTTATTTGGCTTTTACGAAACGTGAGACCTAAAAGAAACCATGCTATTGAAACTTTTTTTCCCTGTGTGTGGCCATCTAAATAAAGGTGCGTCTTATATGCAGTCAAATACGGTACATGCATTTTGTTATTTTACATGTTATATGATATTTAACAGTATATTAATATGTGAATACTATAGCCATCTTTTGAATACATGTATTTTAAAATTACATACATTAATATAATTTAAATAATCACAATAATCACTCTAAATATAAAGCTTTTTGTTGAATCATTGATTTTATTGAGAATCATAAATTTAAATTCAGTGAATACCATATTTGATGGTATATAAGATGCACTTTTTTTCCTAAATTTGGTCTAAAAAAATTTACCTGTGTCTTATACGTGAAGGTAATTGCATTCAATAATTGTTTATTTGGCTTTTACGAAACGCGAGACCTAAAAGAAACCATGCTATTGAACCTTTTTTTTCCCTGTGTGTGGCCATTTAAATAAAGGTGCGTCTTATATGCAGTCAACTACAGTACATGCATTTTGTTATTTTACATGTTATATGATATTTAACAGTATATTAAAATGTGAATACTATAGCCATCTTTTGAATACATGTATTTTAAAATTACATACATTAATATAATTTAAATTAAAATTTTAAATTTAGCAGCATTGCCTTCATGAAATTTCGCATATGGCTCTGTTTGCTACCGTAGTACGAGGGCTATCCAGAAAGTAGATTACGTTTTGGAATAAAAAAATAAACAAAGTATAGGAAACAAATTTTATTATATACAGATGAAAGCCACACTCAAATACTACTTTTCTACATAGTCACCATACAAATTAAGGCATTTATCGTAGCGATGTACGAGCTTGGAAATTCCTTCGTCGAAAAATTCGGCCGCCTGCGCCTTCAACCACTTCGTTACCTCTTCTTGCCTTCCATCTTGCACAAAACTTGTGGTAACCAAGCTTTTCGCTGATGATTTCGTGCAACAAACTTCGCGAAATTTGTGGAAAACTCAAAGAAAGTTCCGTTATTGTGAAATTTCGATTTTCACGGACTTTAGCATCGACTTTTTCGAGAAGTTCGGCGGTCACTATGCTGGGTCTCCCACTTCGATCTTCGTCGTGAACATTGGTTCGGCCATTTTGAAATCTTATGACCCACTGACGCACTCCACCTTCAGTGATAATGTTGTCCCCATACACTTCACGAAGCTGCCGATAGATTTCTATCGGTTTACAGTTTTTTGCAGTCAGAAACCTTATTACTGAGCGCACCTCGCAGCTCGCGGGATTTTCAATTAACGCAGACATTTCAAACCGTCACAGTATCTGAACGGAGCACAGCACGAACCTCTCACTAGCACGGCTAGATGCAGACTGAGCTGCGCAACGCTCTGACCCCAAGATGGCCGCGCTAGCCCCGCCCCTAGCGGACACAGACGGAAACGTAATCTACTTCCTGGATGGCCCTCGTATATTTTATATTTTTTTCCAAGTATTTTAATACCCCAATTTTTGATTTAATACTTAGTAAATGTTTTCATTTGAAAGGTTATAAGTATGTGAGGTATTAATGTCAATTTAAGGATCATATTGTGTTATTAACACATCTTGTTAATAAATTTATGCGAGCTTCAAAAAAAGATATACAGTCAAAATTCGTTAATCCGGACTCGTCGGGACTTCGGCAATTCCAGATTATTGATTTTTCCGGATTATAGATCATCAGTTTAAATCTGGTAAGATGGCATGCAGAAATTATAAAATTAAAAATATGAAACCTTAATTTATGAAATAAAGAACAATTATGATCTAAAGGTATCAAAATTTACAAAAAAAAGCTTAATATTTATTTGTTTACTTTATTAAACATTTCTTTCAATGTAAGTTGTTTAAGTTGCTTCGTTTTATATGATAATACTTTCTCTTTAATTCTATAAACAGACATAATTTCTTCTTCAGTTACAAAGTTCCGCTGTTAAAGTCCTATAATTGCTGTGTCGAGAATACCGACTAATTTGTCAATCGAAATTTTTTCGTTTTCAATAACCTCTGTATCACTTTCTTCTTTATCGGAAGCGAATTAATATAATGACGAGGAATTTGATTTTAATCATATCAAAGACAGAGTACATCGAGATGAAATACTACATTTAGTAATTTTAGTTAGTTTAGTCAATTTATAAGCGAAATAAAATAAAAACATCTGCACTGAATATAAGGATAGTATTGACAGATTAACTTCCAATTCATTGTGCGGCGTGGCGTTTCAGCGTCCCCCCCTTCCCCCGGGCCGCAGAGCAGCGTGAAATTGATAAACAGATTTCGTAATGGTTTGAGAAACGAAGGTTATGCCTTTATCCATTTTTTGCAGCAATTCCACTTTTTGTTTAATGGACTTACTTTCTCTTTGTGTAGATCCTTTACATAATAGTAAATACATATCAGAAATTCTATTTGACATAATCGAAAGTTCAAGCTTGTCTACAAAAAATAATAAGCCGGATCCAATTCGAAGATTCAGGAACAACGCAATCTGCAACATTAACTGAATTAGATAATTTTAGCTTGGCTTATACCATCCGTTATACATTAAACGCACAAGCGTGAACGTATTACACACATGCATATTCGCAGCCGTAAAAGTCTGCGCAACACGACTCATGTGCAGAAAGTTTGTAGCTTTAAGGTCCGGATTATAGATCATTCCGGATTATGGGTGTCCGAATTAACGACTTTTGACTGTATATACAGGGTTGCCACGCTACCTGGAAAACCGGAAAAAGTCAGGAAATTCGGAAATTGACCAAAAAATGATGGGGAAAGTCAGGGAATTTAAGTGTTTTAGTCAAAATCTGGAAAAGTCAGGGAATTTCATACGACGATCCCGCCAAAAAAGGCGAGTTTTGCGCCAATGTCAGAAGAGATAACTTTTTTGGCGAATTGTGTATCACGTGAGTATCATTCGGGCAACTGGCATAGAGCCAATTTTCGCAGCTCCAATTTGATTGTCTTTTTAGAAAGGCAAAGCAAGATTCCCGCAACTTTTAGTTTCCAGTAACCTCGAGAATCGCATGTGCAGTGCATGAACTAAAGAAAGTACTTGTTCTCGTATAAAACAAAATGGGTTTAATCCTAGTATACGGTACCATGAAGGTTAGAATAAAAAACTATGTATTGTAAAGAAGGAAAACCTCTCTGCAACAGATGTGGCTCTGTTCCATCATAGCGGGAAACAGCTGTGCATGCGCGATATATCTGTCACCAAAGCTCGAAACAGGTGTCAAATTCGAAGGTCACGTTATCAAGAGTTCATAAAATGAATATCATTTAAAATTTCTTTAAACTCTAAAGGAAAAGAAAATATTTTTTGGCACAAGTAAATTAATTCATGGATTAGTTATTTTGAGGGGGGAGGAATCTACGAAAATCCGTTTTTAAAATTATTGCGAAAAATCCAAGAAAAAAACGTTCTTTGATAAAACGTTTCTTCTTGGATTTTTTGCAATAATTTAAAAACGGATTTTCGTAAAGAACGTTTCTTCTTAACACGTGTTTCTCAATTTCCTGTACGCATCGCGGAGAGGGAAATTCTGGCCGCCAGGTTCCGTCGGCAAATCCCTTGGCAAATTTTCTCTCCGCTTTTTACATAGACGTTCTTTGGTTAGAATAATCTCCATGTATGGTACAGCGGGATTTGGCAACATGATGATGAGCAGTAAACGGGTCATTTTGTTCTTGGCGACAATTTTCAAAATCATGCGAAGGCCATATCGTATACTAGGATTTTACCGCAAAATCTTTTTTTGTTTCTTTTCTTTTTAATAAATACCTTGTCACTTTGCAGTAAAATAAAAAAAAATAGTAATCAATCATCTAGGATAACCATGTAATGTAACTATATTCGCTAAAATATCGTTGATTATTCTAATTAAATTTTTAAGTAATTATCTTTATTTTTATGTTATTCATATCATTTAATGTTGCTTCTTTCCTCTAAATTTATTTATCATTAGTAAAATAAATTTCCAAATTTCAGGAAATTTTCTCTGGCATAATCCTGAAATTAATTCTAGCACTATGATGACATCACGAAATTTAATGCACATATTTTTTCCTTATGTATGCTGCGAAATAAATATAAAATACCTCAATTTATTAAAATAGATTTCTTTTTTCATTTAGCTGCAGAATGTCTGCAAAAAAAAAAGCCTTATTTTATTCCAGATTGGGAAGATTCTAATCTCAATCTTCAGTGGAGAAAAAACAACTATTATATTTGTGTTTTCAAGTGTTAAGGTGCCTTTTAAGAACATACCTCACACAAATTAAATTTACCTAAAATCCAACCTAACTATTTAGTATTGCATTGTGATTTATAAGGACCGGATTAGCCTCGTCTTGAACTGGTGATGATCATGAGTAATAATTAAATAAAACATACATTTGTTATCCAATGTATATATCTTAAATTTTATTAAGTTTCTTAAGTGGAAAAGTAAACAAAATTATCAAACAAAGTATACCAAGAATAATTAAGAATAAATGTCGCCTGGGATTTATTGAATAATTAAGTGAATTTGCTACACAGTACAAGTAATATCATAATTAATTTACCTCTTAGCACAGCCAACGTACATTACGCGGATAGACAGGAATTTTCTCAAAACATACCTGGAAAACCTGGAAAAGTCGGGGAATTTCATTCTCCTGTTTGAGTGGCAACCCTGTATATAGAATATGTCAAAGGCATTCTGTCAACATTAGCTGTCAGAACATTTTGTCAGGCTGAGTGAGAATTATTATCATATTCCAAGTTAAAATATGTAACATACAACATATAAAATGATATACAACATATAATATGTATTATTAAAATATATCCCAGAATTTTTTAGTACTATCAAATGATGCTTTATTATGTGAAATATTATACTCAGAAACTGTGTTGAAAAATTAATACCTGAAGTATATAAGAAGTTTAGTGATATAAAATTTTATATGATATTTTCTCAGTTTACTGAAATCTGCTTTTTTACCATTGTGGTATAGCTTCTTACAAAGAGTTTATAAGCAACTATCAGCTCAGATCTACTCTTTGTTTCAGACAAATTTGAAACACCACCTATTGGTCAATACAGTTACCAATATATATTATATTTCACAGTTACTGTTTTTAAATTATTTAGTTGCTTGTTATCACCATTTCTTTATAGTTACTAAAATATTATCATGAACTTCTTTGTAGTGTAATCAGTCACTTTTGGTATTGACTTTTATAAATGCCATCAAGTTGTTGATATAATTAGCAACTTGGTATGCAACTTAAAATTTATAATATTTTAAATAAACTGTTAAAAACAATATTTATTGTAATGCTCATAAACAGAAAAAAGGAGTAGGAAAAAATTACCTTTATTGTAGCTGTACTCTTTTTTTTATTAACTGAATAGAATTTAATGAACTATTTCTTTTCAAGCATATCTTGAGAATGTTAGCATTTAAAAGTAATCATTGATTCAGGCGAAAATACCTCATCCAGTGTGCAACAGATATTTTCTGTCTTATTACTTTCCTCATTCCTACCTAATACCCACTTCTCATTTGTCATTTTTACATTCTGAAACTTTTATTTACATTAATTTTATTATTTTGTATGACAGCACCCAAATCATCAATTTTACTTATATTCTATATTTTAAAATTCATACATCCTTCCAAATAACCTTTATTCAGCTGGTAAATGATATGATGGCATAGCAATCAGTATACCTAATAATATATAATATAATCAATATATTTAATAATAGTGTATAATCTAGAAAGTTTTTGTCCCCCTCCCCCAAACTTAAACTTCATATTTGCACAATGCAGTTGATAACACTGTTCCGATATACCATCTGAAGGATATCTTTTGCAGTATTTCATATATCATTCCCACATTTGGATATTTATACATTGCTGAACATTAAAATTTATAAAATTAATAGTCATATGATTTTAGAGTATAGTTGCATTTGAGAAAAAAGAAAAAATTTATTTTTCTTTTCCTCTAGCACTTTTTTAAAGCAAAACAAGAATTATGTACAAGAAAACTGCTACAGAACTGAAGTTGTTATACTTGATGAATGATTATATAATTCACAATACAAATCTGACAGAGTTTCAGAGAATTTCTGAAACATTTCTCTGAAAACTCAAATTCTGTTAATCATTTTATATACTGAAATCTTAAGTTCATAAATGCCTTTTTCCTCTTTTCAGAAATTCTAATGCTCAACCAAATGTCTTAGAATCCCGTAAATGGTCTAGTCATGAAGGTAATTTATAATTTTAATTTTAGAATGCCTTTCATTAATGAAGAGGTTTATATTTAAAATGTAAGAATATTTATTGATAATATGTTATGCATAGCTGTCTATATAGATATAAAACAAAAACAAAGAAAAGGAAATCAAATTCCTCTAATTGTGCACCAAATGCTGCTAAAAATAATGTGATAAAGTTTGTTAGGAAATGTGTAAGAAAATAATTTTTGAAGGATGTAAAATTTTTATTAGATAATTGATTACAGTACATTTTTGGAAAGAGCAAGTAAAAGTAATTTTTATTGAAACAAAATAAACTGCTTCAATGCAACAATTCCAACCCTGGATATGCTTTATGTAAAAATGTTTGCAATAACCAGAATCATAAACACAGTTTTTATTTTGATTGTTTTTGTTGCTCTGATGATGATCACAAAGTAATATCAAAGTTTTGTTCATTTGTTTTTCTCTATTCCTTTTGTTGTTGTCAAGTAAAAATTCCTTTTATTTGCTGGCCATGTGGTAGTGATTTTAACATCTTATGTTCTTTCTATAGTTCTTTATTTTTTACAGTAACTGCAGCAACAAAAGGAGTGCTTTTAATTAATTATTTTTGTTATATTTCTTTTCTAATTGATCTGAGTTTATATATACTTTGAATTGTCTGAATTTTATTTTACACATTATTTAAACGTTAAATTATTCTAGCATATGGTTTGTGTCAATTTAAGGCATTGTAAAGTACTTTTGTGTGCTATTCAAAATAATTGTATTAGAAATGGAAAGAATAATAAATAGTTTTGTCTTAGATAATGCAAAAAGGAAAAATAAACAATCTGAATATTTTTTTTCCTTCTTTTAATCTTATGTTGAAAATAAAATTTTATGATTTTCATGATTATTCCACAGTTAGATATATTTAAATATTAAATAGAATTTTTGCAATGTATTTTTTAGATTGTATACAGCAGTGGTTTCAAATTGTAATTTGCGGAACCCTAGGTTTGAAAGCTCAGAGTTCCATAAGTCAAAATAAAAATTTAAAAATATATATATATATATATATATATATATATATATATATATAAAAAACTAACTGTAGTTGACTAGTGTTTATTAACTAAAAAGTACTATAATGATACATTTAATTGTAGATCAGTTTTAAAATTTAATGTGTGATTATGATATGTCAAAGAGGAGAATGTGCAATGCTTTGCGACACTAAACAGTTTTCTAATAGAAAATGAATTGAATTTAGATAGTAGTGTTAAAAATTATGTCATGGAGCCTTTTTCAGCTGAAGAAAATTGTGACAGAATATTTCCCAGAAGGAAAACTAAGTACGACTGGATCAAAGTCCATTTGAGTACTATGATAAATCAGAATGCTTGTAAATGAACAGAAGAAAACAATTTATCAACATGTCAACAGACATTAGCTCTTAAATTTTTGGTTGTAGATCCATGCTTAATATCTAGAAGTTTCTTATGACTATAAACATTTTAATGCCATTCAGAACAACATGTTTAACTGATAAATATTTCTCAATGTTTGTGGCAACAAAAAAACAAAAAACAACAACAACAAAAAAAAGGGGGGGATATTAATGTGACTGCAGATAACATTAACAGAACTAACAGAACTACACTCTGACAGTTTGTGCAAAAAGAATACAAGTATGCCTTGTCACTAAATATAATGCAAGGGTAGGTGACACCTGGAGCATGAGTTAATGCTATGTATGGGTATATTCTATTAATTTTAAGTTTAAATTTTCTAATAAAAATTACAATATTTTGATTTAATTATTTTTACGCAAAGTACCTATATCATATTGATCTAGTTTAAATATTATTTTAAGATATATTTTTCTACAGGTGGGATGGGCTTCCTCCCCAAAAAAACCTTACAATTCTAAAGGTTTGAAGACCACTGGTATAAAGCATAATAATTTGAATTGTTTTATTTCAGCAATGCTAGACTGTATTTGAAGCATCAAAATTGTTAACTGATAGTAGTGAAATTATGCAATTGTATAGCAGAATAAGGAGATTTACTGGATTATTTATTGCTGTCTTAAAAATTCTTCAGTTTGATAAAAATTCTTCAGTATTCTGCTGTGCATTAAATCATTTAATTGCATTGAAAAGACAGTCCAAATGTTAGATATGATCTTAATCCTACTTTTTATTTACTAGGAAAAATAAAAGTTGCTAATTTTGTAATATGAAGAAAATGATTATCCCCCCTTTTTTTCTGTTTGCTTTGAAAATAAAACTTCCTTAGTTATATCTGTTATTAAAGTAGGCAAAGCTGTGAATATTCGATTTTTGAAACTATTCAAATTTATGAAAGCATGTATAATTTTTGCAGACTTATTAAAACGTAATTTAAATACATAATATTTAAGAAAATACTAGAATTTGCAATAAACCATATTCCATCCCTTATTAGAAGATCTAAAACCTTGCAGTCTTTCATACAACTTTATTTTACATCTGTCCAAAAAATTTCATTAAAGCATTAGAAAATCTATAAAATATGTAATTCTGTTTAATTTTTTATGATATGTATTTTAAAAACTAGTTGAGGAAATATGGCAGCTATGTACATTAATATGGAAATGTTCCATTTGTATATAAATACAAAAGATACCAGCTTATGAATGAAAGTTTATAAATGTTCAGAAATAAGTGAAAACAAAATAACATTCAGAGCCTAACAGCACTTTTTTTTTTAATTTTCTGCTTTTAATTTGAAAAGTAGTATTAAATAGTGAAGACTTAGCTCCAGAAATAAAATATCAAAAGAGTGGGAGATGGAAAAAGCAAAATTTTATTTGTTTGTATAAAAATGAATTAAGTTGTCCCATTTTTTTGATTTATAGAAATATTTATTAGTTCAATTGTCATAACGTTTCACATATTCTATACTGAAATACCAACAAAAATTCTGAATATAGTAGAAGCTGAAACAGAAAAGATATAAATAAAATTTTTAATGCAGTTTATTTTGATGCCGAGAAAAAGATAAACTATTTATTTTGCTATTGAAAATTTTACATTTCACAAAACTACAATTGTCATATAGTATGCTGTGATAGTGGTACATAAATACATGCATATATGTTGTATTACAATAATTCATTATGAAATTACATTTCATACATTGTGATACAAATTTTAATAGATCTTCAATTCCTTTAAAGTTTTGAAAATGTGTGCAACAATCTAAGAGGGTGTTCCGTAAAGCATTATTTAAAAAAAATGGTTGCACTTTAATAGATTGTGCATACAAGGGAAGAGCTGATATGTTCTAATATGTTTCTTTCAGAATTTATAAGAAGCAATGAAAGTAACAGATAGATACAGCCATCAAAAAATGATTTTCTGAGTTTTGCAGTAGCTTTAGAAACGGAGAATCAAATTTTTGCTGTAATGTAAAATAACATGGCAATTGTTTAAAGTCTTATAATTGAAATGAGGTATTTAGACAATGCATCTGATGAATTAGAATGGTGCCGTCAGTACTCATTTGTTTTTATCAATCTGTTATAGGGTAATTTTTACAAATGCTTGTCTGCGATTTTCTACAAGCTGCTTCTTCAAAAAAGAGTTCTAATTATTTCCAAAAAGAAATATCATTTGTCATTAACTGAAATACAAATAGGGTTGTGTTTAAGTTGAATAATTTTGAAATTTAATGTTTAATTATATAATGTAATTATTCTCATGCTTTTTTTTGTACATATTTACTAATAATATGAAATAATGTATTTGCTTATATTTTCATAGATTGTGAAGCAGAAAAGACAAAAAAGCCTACGTTAGTATCAATCATATTTTAGTATACTTTATTTGCCATAATTTTATTATTTGTTGTATTGAAAATATAATATTTTATCTTGTGAAAATAAATTTAAAATTAATTTTTTCTGAAGAGGAATGAACATTTCATGTATCAAAACTTACAGTTTTAAAAGTTAAAAAATCTGAAAATATGGTATGTTTATGTAATTTTTTTAGTATAAAAATTTTTGTCTTATTTTTGAAATTCCAAATAAATTTTCTGAATAAATAGATTAATATGGGATAATATTATTGGTACTCATTTTAAACTCATAAATTGTACAGATGAGTATCAGATTTACATATTTTTTCTCTTACTGAATTAGTCTTAACCAAATCTTTGAGATATCATTTGCTTATTTCTTTTCCATGCTAGCATGTTGTAGTTACTTTTCATACTTAACTGCGAGTATATCTTAAAAATTTGTTAAAAAACAGTTGCATGTCGTGTGCCTTGGGTGTCATGTTAACTATGGCTGTTAAGAATGAAAATGTAACTTTTTGCCTTGATTGCTGCCTTATCTCATGCATCTACATTCATTCACCATCAAAAAAATTATGTCATTATCAAAATTTGTATTATATACATATACAGTGCTTACAATTTATTAAACTCATTGGTTTATAAACTTAGCCACTTATTACATTCAAATTTCTAGGAACCACAACAAATGCATACTAATCAGTCACTTATTAAACTTATCTTTGCCACTTACTGAACTCTTATTGGCAAAAGGCTGATTTTCCAGTGCCAGAATATACTAATTGTACCTGTCATAGTTTAACCATTGAACATATTGTGAACCTTGGCATAATTGTTCAAGTATTTAGAGCCTCAATAAAATGAATTTGGCTGAGATTTTTTTATTCTCCAGTTCCTGTATCTGTGGTGTACTGTTTTCAGCGTTCTATGTATGCACTGGATTTCTGAGGGGCAGAATTTCTTTATCTTAAGGTTAACAAAAACAGTCCTGTAGAGTAAACACACTGTAAATGAGTGAGGGTTCCTTCTCGAAGACTAGTTGATATGAGATGGGAAGGCAACTTCTGCTTCTCATCTTTTAAGGTTTCCACATTCAAAATTTTCTCTTTGGCATAACCCATTGTGTTCACAGAGAGTTATAAAAAAATTTCATGAAATGCCCTTTAGCATAACTGCACGTTAAAACTTCTTGAATGAAAAGGAGGTAGTAACTGTAGGCTGAAGAAAAAGCAAGGAGAGCATTGGTCATGCTTGTAATCACGAAGTGCGGATCGACTAAACACTCAGAAGACATTCTTTCTGCTGTCTTGAAGCTTAACCTTTTTTAATTTAAAGAAATTACTGAAAGAAAAATTTTTTAAATTTTTGTGAATTTGTAAAATTTAAAAAAAAGTACACAAAAAGACTTCATCCTTAAAGAAAAGGATATTTTGTTTAAAAAAAATGTTGTTCTTTGTAATGGCGGCCTGAGAAAAATTATATTTAAACTTAAAATTTCCTTAACAGCACTATCCCGTTTACTTAACAGCTTGTCCCGTTTGCTTTTCAATGTGTCCCATTACAGCTTATCCCATTTGCTTTTCAATGTGTCAAAATTAAAAAGTGTTTCTATTTCTTAATTTTTTTCCATTAATTCACTAAATGCTAGGATAGAATTTAGTATCAACTGACAGATGGCTCACATGTTGGAGAAACAGCAATTCAGCATTGTTTGTTCATAAGAAAATGCCTAGGGAGTTTTCTAAGGAGCAAACACATCACCTTGCAGCTGGTAACTGGATAAAAAATGTTTTATTTGGGCTGCTAAATGAACATAAGCCACACGAAACTTATAATACAGATGAAACTAGACTGCATTACAGAACATTACCAGAATGTGCATTAATATTAAAAAATGAAATAGCAGTTAGTTTAAGAAACTGAAGGAATAAGTTGTGTTACTAACATGCAATATAGACCCAACAATTAAGAAGACATCACCAGTTATTGACAATATCAGAAAACCTCAGTGTTTGAAAAGAGTCAGGAATTTCCTTCTGGCTTACAGAGCAACAAGAATTCATGGGTGACAAGTAGTATTTTACTGATTTACTTTTGAAATGGGCCAGTAAATTGAAAACTAAAAAACTCAGAAATTAGAAATTGTGCAGAACACATACCTGTGATCACTTTCTGAGAAACGTTAGTGTTTTCTCCTGCAAATACAACTTCCAACATTCCTTTAATTTTAGGGTATTATAAAAGCTTTTAAATGTGACAGGAAAGATATTCAAAAATGATGAAAAGAATTGAATTTTGTCAAAATGCAAGCACTTTAGTAGAGATAAATAAGTTGATATCTTTTATACAGAAGAAGCTTCAGAAAAATTTAAAACTATAGCTAATGTTCCATAGATCAGTAAGGGAAGTTATAAAGATTCATTCTTAGAATACATACCAGTTCACAACAATATTGAGACAACCTGTATAAAACCTGACAATGAAAGTGGTAAAAGAATTTCAGAAACTAGCAGCAAAGGTGATACAAAAAAAAAAAATGATGTGCCATCATCAGTTGCATCTAGAAAAGCACTGTGAAATCTAAGAAAAACACTTGAACTGAAAGCTCAAAATAACTGCTGGCACTTTTATGAAATTACAAATACAATTGAAAAACTGTTGTTGAATATTATGAAACAAGCACACATAAAATAGTTGTTTATAAGAGATAAAAGATCATCAAAAATGTAAATATAAAAATAGTTTTATAAATATTAAAAAATAAATTTCAAAATTGCATAAATAGTTTAATTTTTAATAATTATTTTAGGATTCATTATTGAATTAGTTGTTAATGATTATTTTACTCAAGTTTAAAACTGATATAATGATTTGCAGTACTCAATTTGCCATCTATTAAACTTAGCCACTTAATAAGTTCAAATAGGTTTGGAATAGAAGAGAATTTAATTAGTGGCGGGTGCTGTATTTATAAATAATTATATTTATAAATTTTTTAACCCTCTGACTGCTCAATTTGTGGACCGAAATTGCTTCCTTTTTTTTTCTTTCATATTTTTAAATCTATATATATTGGAGAATTGAAAAATTCACTTTTCCTTTCTAGAAAATAATCATGAGAAACTAAGTTGCCAGAAAAACCAATTTCAGATGTTATCAAAAAAAAAAAAAAAACCAAAAAAAAAAAAAAAAAAAAAAAAAAAAAAAAAAAAAAAAAAAATTAAATAAATTTCAGTCGAATTACAGTTTCTATTTATTGCATAATATAAAAAAGTAAAATGTATAAAACTGAAGAAAATATAAAGCGCTGAGGGAAAAATATCTTAGAAATGCAGTTTATTATGAGTTCAAAACAGGGTTCAAGGCAAAGTCCAACTTCACAGTTTTTGCACCAGATTCAGTAAATCTATGAAAAGTACCAAATTATTCTTAGTGCCAAAATCTATTTTAAAAAATGCCGAGCCCGGATAACTGTTAATTATCAGAACAACACTTTCACATAATTAGTAACGCTTTCACATAATTAGTAAACTGGATGCTTTTGTTAGTCAAAGTTTTAAAAGTGATATCAAACACAGATGCTACAAAAAAGTCCACATCAGTTAAATCAGATCTTAAACTGGAATTACAAGCTTATTCAAAATACATGAAAAGCAATCTCTGATGCCCCTTATATAATATACACTAACAATACCCACATGAATAACTGATAATCATCAACAGGTATTACAAGAAAAAACCGAATTCAGATGCATATAACATAGTTTGTATAAATGCCATCTAACAAACTTACTGAATTCACCACCCAGAGAGTATAGTGGTTAGGGGAGGCGACTGTGATACCAAAAAGCTTGGGTTCGAGTCCCGGAGAAGCCATGGATTTGCTCCCTCATAGGAAGAAATAGTGGCTGCCTATTAGGTACTCCCATAATAAAATGACCACCGCTTTTGGTCTTAGTAGTGGCAAAAGACTAAAAATAGCTAGTGCCCACCATGGGGGGGAATTAATAATCAATCTAATTGTTAATCTAATTAATAATTCAATAATTTAATTAAATATCAAGATAATCGCTGAACGTTTTCTAGTAGCCATTTCTATAAGAAAAAAGCGGCAAAAAGTGAAGTTTGAGCGCTAATATAATGTGCCTTCAAATGCTGCAATTTAGTGGACAACTAACGATATCTGTTGGCCAAAACGTAAACTAAACACCTAATACTGTATATAATTTATTTCAATGCTTAAACGGGGAAAAACGGGATGTGCCTCTCAATAAAGGAAGAAAAACATGCCCGCGGAAATCGCGGGATAAGCAAATTTTGCTACATTTGAGTTGCCCATGGAAATCGCGGGATGATCAGCCAGAGGGTTAATGTTTCTCATCATTTTAAAAATTTTTGAAAAATGAAGTTTTTAGATTGCAAAATAATATTATTTTTTAGTTGGGTACATACATTTCTGTATTTTTATTTTTAGAGATGTACCAGATGATTCCAGATCTGTCAGAAACAGTAAGTACACTGTAATTTTCAATATTCATGATCTGTCAACACCTATAATATTGTCATTCATTTAAAAAAAGCATCCCTTTTTGTAACAGTAAGTTAAAAAGGTCTTTGTAAAAATAAGCTAATAAATAACTTTGAAAAAGAAATATTTTTTCCCAACTATTAATCAGTATGAATAACTGTCACTTTCCGCCCCTTGGTTTTTTTTTCTTCTGCCATTAATTATAATCAGTATAATGTTGGATAATCTGTGTCGGTTGTAATTGCTAATCTGTAGCTGTTGCTGTTAATCAAAGTCATATACTCAGTCAGTAAGTTACAAAATAATTGGGTTACCCCCATACTGGTTACTTACACTAAATCATGAAGGGATAGTTAAACAGGTGTTTCCTCATTATTCAGTTACTCAGTACTATTATTATTGATGAATTTGTTCATTCCTATTTTTTGAGCAAGATAATATTAAGGAAACAAAACGAAATATACTTTGATAGCAATCTTAATTCTAAATAGTTGTTAACTCACTCAAAATAGTCTGTAATCTTTTATAAAAAAAAACTGTAATAAAAAAAACAGTCCTTTCTTTTCTTTTAATGGTTTTAATGTTGCTACATATTATTAAACACAAATAAAAATTCATTAATATGATAATTTACGTGAATAAAAGAAAAGAAAGGACTGTTTTTTTTTACTACAGTTTTTTTTATAAAATATTACAGACTATTTTGAGTGAGTTAACAACTATTTAGAATTAAGATTGCTATCAAAGTATATTTTGTTTTGTTTCCTTAATATTATCTTGCTCAAAAAATAGGAATGAACAAATTCATCAATAATAATAGTATTGAGTAATTGAATAATGAGGAAACACCTGTTTAATTATCCCTTCATCATTTAATGTAAGTAACCAGTGGGGGGGACCCAATTATTTTGTAACTTACTGAATTTGGACTGAGTATATGACTTTGTGACCATTGTTTAAAAATTTCAACTCAGGAAATGAATCAAAATCCTTTAATTTTCAATTTCCTGTAAACATCTGTTTGTTCAATTATGAAAATACTTTTTTTTCATTCATTAATTAGTTGAATGGTGTGAAACAGTGACTTTTAATAAACATCAAAAGTATTGGTTTAGATCAGCGCTTCTGTAACTTTTTTTCCTGCATGACCCCTTTTTATTATCGAGATTTTTTTGCAATCCCAGATTTTAAATATAAAATAAAGGTATAAAAATAAATATTTTTCCACAAATAATTGATTTTTTTTTTTTTTGGTAAGCAATATATATATGAAAAGAAATTTATGGATTCGTTTCAGGTATACAAAAATGAATAAAAGAAAATCGCAGTTTAATGAGACAGATATGCTCATTTTGTACTGCAGAACAAATTAAATGCTAGTGCAATATTTGACAGTGCTAGATGTAAAGCATCTTCATCAATTTTCAGAATTGAGATTTGGATTTAATAAGTGTTAAAGCCGAAGAAGTCATTTCATATAAAAATGTGGTGCTGAATATCAAAGGAACATTTAATGGCATTTCAGAAGCTGTGGGAAACTCAGTTCTAGCTGCAGTCCAGAATTCTGTCAAGGAATTTTTTCAAAACTTCAGTTTTCAGTCATTTGATAGCTCAAAAAATTTCTTGTGGGCTTTATATAACAAGTGATTAATCTCGTTAATGCCAATCAAAAATTGTTTTTGAATCCAAGATAATTTATTGAAATCAGAATTTGATATAAAGTATTTGCAAAACTGTTTCTAGGGCTTTTAATCTATAATAATTTTTGCAATTGAAATTTTGCATTTTTTTATTTCCAGTTTTTTATAAACAAAAGCATTTTGAATTAATCATTTTCTACCCTATTCTTCCAAACATCGATCCCTTCAACAAAGCCTTCAATTTTATTGTCCAAAGTGCTAAAACAGTGGCTCCCTCAAAGTTCCTTCTTGGCTTTTCCATCTTTTCGGTCTAACTTTGACTGCAAGTGCAGGCATATCTATTCTAACCTCCTTGCCAAAAGGCTTGCCTGAGGCTTCTGTTACTACTTCCATATAATTCACACATCACACACGTTTCAGAAACAAATGTTAATGGCATTAACACTATGTCCAAATTTTTCAATAATTACTTTATAAACCTGTTTCTGATATAAAAAAGCAGAAGCCTCAGATAGAATATTGTGAAGCATCAAGCTAAGCACAGTGTATGTATACAAAAATATTTTTAAACAAATGAAAGAATACCTTTCTATATAAAAAGGAAGAAAAATAGAAAAAATGAATTCCATTATGATTTGACCTGTAGTTAAAAAGAATCAAAAAAGCAGATTCCCAAAACATGCATCATACATATATTTATTACATTTATGTCTTATATTATTTAATTTTTTAAATTGTAAATATTTAATAAATCTGCTTTATTTTTTTCAGGTGATATTTCTGCTGCAAAGTGAGTAATATTCTTGATTTTTTTTATTAAATAAACCTATTATATGCAGCTACTTTATGTATTTAAATATGATTATTTTTTTCCTTATAGATGCATAATTATTCATATGCATATTTATATGCAGACTAATTATATAGACAGTATTTACTTTAAAAAAAACACATATTTTTGTTCTAAAATTTGATAATATTTTGTAAATGGATGTTTTGGTAAATGAAATTTAGGATGAAAGGAAGGTGTTTAATTTTTACTGCATAATGTGTACAAACTTCTAGGAGGGTATGTTGCTCAAAAACGGAATGAAATCATATAGCTGAGAAACATTAAAAATGTTATTACAGACAGGTATGAAACTGGAAAATGTTGTCTCAAGAAACTTTTGTTTGCATTTAATATAAATGTTTGGTCCGCAGCATTGATGAAAACTATTCAATAAACTCGCAGCTCATGCCCATTCATCTGGAAGCACAAAGTTACAGGATATTTCTGGAGGACGTATTGCCAGAACTTTAAGTGCATTTATAACTTAACACTTTATTTCAGTAGCTGATTTATAAACTATAAATCACACAAATGTTCACATTTTTTAGCAAATTTCTTTTCGCCATTTTGTTACATATATAAATTTCACTTGATCTCATTGTGTGATGGAATTCTGATATGACGTAGACTTTCTTATCTTTCAACAGAAATTCACCCTCTGACCATGTTGTCTCATCTCTAAAAGAAAAAATTAAAGACCTAGAAGATCAAAGTAAAAGTGTAAAATGCCTTATCTGCATGGTTAGTAATTAATACATTTTTAGACAGCATATTAAAAAAAGTCTAAGAAAATACGCTTGTTTTTATCCGATTTTTATTTTTATTGATGTTCATTTGAAAAACTAACCAATGATTTAATTAGGATGTGTTAAGTATTTCATTTTTACTTTTTATATTTTGTGCACAAGTTTTCATTAACAGTAAGAGTAAATAAATGCATAACAATTTCTCATCTTTTGTTTATATTTTAAATTCCTTAATTTTTGAAAGTTTTTGCATTGAATTTTTGTGTAAGTTAACAGAAAATTTTTGATAATGATGATAAAATTATATTTTAGCAATTTATGGTTTTAATATGCAAGTGCCTTTGTGTAGCTATTAAAAATGAAATTCATTCATTCTTTACTCTTGCTGTACAGGAATCATATACAAAGCCAGTTGTTTCCACTACATGTTGGCACGTACACTGTGAAGAATGTTGGTTGATGACAATGGTGAGTTATATTTTAAAGTTAAAACTCTGAATCTGTTTAGTGAAATTATTATCTAATGAGTATGCCATACTGAGTAATCAATTTTATTAAATACAGACACTGTTGCACTAACAAATGGCCATAATAGCCAAAGAAAATATAACTAGATATTATGATAGCCAACACTTAGAAATTGCAATTGTAATGATTTTATGACCTGTCTATAAAAAAACAATAATAATGGGAAAAAATGTCAGTCACAGGTAGCTTATATGTCCCCTACGTAGTATTAGCGTCCTAATATTTGGTAAAACAGTACATGAGAAAAATGACTGATCTAAATATATTTTAGGTTAAAATCTGAATATTTATATGTAATTCGAATATGCACAATTCGAATATGAATATGCAATGACCAATGGCTCAGTCACATGGGCCTTGATATGGCAGTATATATGTTAAAAAATTAATATACACAAACATACATGTATATAAATTTTGATTATATATTAGACTACTGTAAAATTCTAAGCAACATGATTAAAAAATGATTTTATTAAATGGCTCATGGATGACTTCACTATTAAACTTGTAAATCATAGAGCTTTTGTAATCTAGACTGCAATTCTTTGGAAACACCTCAACCAAGAGTAAAGAGCAATAGTTTTGATTAATTAATAGTCTTAAGTGTTAACATTTAAGACTGTGTTAAATGTGCTATTTTAATCAGTGCACATTGGTTATCTATTAACTGGTAAATATTGTGGCATTTGAATCTTAAATTGCTGTATCATCCAAAAATGTTCCTGTTCAACAATTTGATAAATATATTAGCCAGTTTTTTTATGTGTACATCAACATTTATGCATACTCTTTAAGCTAAATATGTTAAAAATGCTTCATTTTAAAATATAGTGTTACTACTATCTTTCCAAAACATGTCATTATTATACATATATTTAGAATTTAATTGTTGCATTATAGTATAACGGAACTTTTTCTTAATTATAAATTTAAATGATTATGCATGCTCTAAGGGGAAGTTTTGAAAATTAGAGCAGAATTTATGAAGTTTATATCTTATACATAATATACAGCAATATTTCTTAGCCAGAACCCTTGCATTTCACAACACTTTTTCTGGATGATCATGTATTTTTGAGTCATAATGGAGAGACATCTTGAGACATGATTGTTATTTCGAGGATCATTCATAATAAAATTCAATTAAAAATATTTGATATAAAAATAAAGGATTTAAATAGGTTTTAAAACAATCAGCAATGTGTTAAAGAATTCAGTAAAAAAAAATCATGTATTATATACCCTACCTGCCATCTCTCAGAGTTTTTCATCTGATCTCCTGGTAGATTGATCACAGAATATCCTAGGTTTTTAATTAAACCTTTACCAAGGAAAATGTTCCCCAGCAATAAATGAAATAGTCCAGAGTTTTCGCCACACCTCTTAATTTTTCTGATTAAATTTTGTCTGATCTGAATTATTTTATCTACTGTAGATATTTGTAGAACTTTTTATAAAGATTAAACCAATTTTAATCATTTAATATTTGTACTTAATTTTGTTTTACACTAATTATATGATATATTACTATGTTTATCCATAGAATCTAATATCTTATATGTACTTATATGTACAAATTGTGCCAATTTGGTGATTCATCGCGAAATATGTGTTTAACTAAAATATTGTTGGCAGCATTTAAATTCAGTCCTCTTTATTACATTAAAAAAACTTTTCGGAACATTTTTTAGTGCATCTCTACATTTGTCAACATAATTTTTTATACATAAATTTATTACTTTTATGCTAATTTTTTACTAATATAATAACATTGTTGAATATCATTAAAATTAATGTATTGAATTATATTTTTAGAAAAATAACATTAAAAAATCTGAAATCTTTCAGATTTTATATTATGCCCAAAAGGACTTTTTTTAACATTTTGTATGTTACCTTTATTTGTTAATTATCATGTTCTTCGCACTTAAGCCATAAAATTCAATTCAAGAGCAATACAGCAAAATATTTAAAAGAGCATATCTTTAGAATTTTTGATACACAGTCTCATGCGCAGGAGAGGAAAAAAAACATTTTTTCAGTGTTGCCGTTGCTCACTATGAAATGGTTGAGTTTCTTAATCAAAAACTCATAATTTCTTTCCAGAATATGAAATAGATAATAAAACAAATTCCAAATTTGGGCTTCCAGATGCCCATATACAGGTGGAGACATACGTTATTCAAAATCTGATGGCACTAGATACCATTGTTTTATCACAATGTGAGAAACACATACATTAATGTAGATTCTTCAATATTTAATTTCTTTAATATAATACAGGGATCTAATATTTGGTGGCAACAATTTAAAAAGTGATTCGCTGTTTATAGTGAATCAACGCAAAATGGCAAAACGAAATTAATATAGCCCTTCTGGGCAAATTGCCCCTTTGGGTTGATAAAACATTTTTATTTTCTGTCATATTTTAAAGTTGTTCATCATTCAGTTTAATGACTTATAAATTCTATATGCTTATGGTTCTGAAAAATAAACAAGGTAACAAAAGTTATGAAGCAACAGGTTTCGATTGATTTTTTAGATAAGCAAAATGCTACTGTAATTATTTTAAAATTAATTTCATTTATTTGCTTTTACATTTTTTATTTTAAGATCTTCTCACCTTGTAATTGTTTCAAAATATTCAGCTATGTGTCAGTTTTCTTTGTAAAATCCACTTTATTATTTTTTCCCCTCTGAATTTTTTCAAAAATCTTCTGTTACTCTTACAGAGTTGGCAGGTATGGTAGTGAGTTGGCTGTTGAGGCAATTTTTCTCTAAAAACTATGTACTTTGGAATGTTATAGTAAGATCTGAAAGCTAAACCCACAGTTATTGGTTAAAAATCCAGAACAAAGCCTCTGACAATTTTTTTTAAAGTATTCCTAGAATTAACAAAGAATAAACATGTTTTACAGGAAGAATACTGTGAATTTCTCTTATTATGCGGAGAAATTTTGAAAAATAGCTGTGGAACCAAAGTTATTTTAATTTTCTGCTTTTGATCCAGAAATCTTTCTTTATTTTCTGTTTTATATTTTCATGCTTTTCACTGCACACAAACTAGGGAAAATGCAAAAGGGGTTTTAATCCTATCATATGCATAGACTTCTATGAAAAGGAGTTTCTTTCTTAATAAAAATGTTGAAAATTAATAACTTAAAAATTCATATTATATATATATTTTAGTGCACTATAAATCATTTCAGGTAGTTTTTTTGGAGTTATTCTCAATATTAACGTTATTAAAGAAATAAAATTAGGAATGCCTTCTGCACATTCTAAATACATAATTTTTTTTTTTTTTGAAGAACAAAAATCTACTCTGAAAATTCAAAGATGAAGAGAAAAGTTATTGAGGAAAAATTGATTACAGATGAATTGAACAGCAGATGAAGTAGAGACTGTTGGAAACATAGATTTGTTTATTAAAGCAAATGAACTTAGATAAGGTGTTAAAAAGAAGAAATGTTTTTCACAGTTAAAAATCTCTGCCTACCAAATTCTATAATTGTTGTATTAAGAATCATCACTAAATAGTTGACTGAATCTTTTCTTCCTCACAAACATTTTTATAACTTTTTTCATTGTTGATAGTGATATTTCCTGCATTTAAACCATACTACCCATTAATTGATTAATAATTGAGGCATTGCCCTTGCAGTTAAGACTGTATCTTCTTCATTTAGTATATCTTGAATATTCCATTAATCAGAAAAAATTGCTGTTCTTTTCCATCAAAGCCATACAATGTGAGATATTTCCTTGCCATTAGGTCTATTCACTGTAATTTGGATTCTTTCTTAACACAAGCATGTTTTTTTTTTTTTTTTTTTTTTTTTTTTTTTTTTTTTCATTTAATGATAGTTTTTTTCCCAATTGAAATGGATTTCTATGATTTGAGATTTGCCAAGGGAAGAAAAAGTGGCTGTCTTGTTTCTTCAAGAAACAAGTATTCTGCACAAGGAAAGTTTTTGAATAATCATTTCATAAAATTAAAATGTAGTAAGCAAAAATTGTAAATATAGATTTTGCTATCTATTAATTGATGATCATTGGGCTGATTGTTGCATATACAGTCCCAAGAAAAGCATAAAATCTTTCATTAAAAAAAGAAAAGAAATATCTTTCATTACAATTTTCATTTTAATAAGATAGCGATAATAATAACAGACTAAACAAAATAATAAGCTCAATCAATTCAGAAAATTAAGGAAGAGCACAATTCACAGTGGAGCTTAAGGGGATTGTAATTTAATTTTCTCATTTCCTCCCTACTGTGCTAATAAAATAGCCAGTTTGTGTAACCTTGTACTCTGCATGTGTAACATTCCACTTCAAACAAGCATTGGCATACCTGCCAACCTCTAAAGATAAAACTTCAGAAGATTTCTCCCCCAAATTCAGAAGATTTCTCCAAAATTCAGAAGAACACGAAGAATTAATATCATGCTTTGATATTAAAAAAATAACAATTTATACAAATAGAAAAAAGAAATTGTACTTACATTGTAAATCTCAATTAAGTAGTAACTAAAATTTATTAGGAAACATTAACAGAACTAATAAATTAAAGTCAAACACAAACAGCGTTAATTTACAAAATTTTACAGGACTGTTCGATGTTTTTACGACCATCATCTTCAGCTCAACGCTGAACAAGATAGGAAATAATGTTTGAAGATAAAAAGCCTACAGAATAAGCAAGTGGCGCCATCTGTTGGCAAACCAGAACTAAAACATGATTTCTCTAAAGCCGAAGGCAAATTTGGATTGAATTAGGAATCGTTAACTAGAACAAAGATTTTTAATGTGAAATGCCTCTAGAAATCCAGTTCTCCATGGAAGAGTTTTTGATAATTTTGGCAGCAGAAAAATTGAAAGTGTGATTTTTGGACCAACAAGTTGAGCAACAGAAGACTCTGTGTTTCCTTTTTCTAACATATGCCTCATTCTTTGACGCGAAATTTT